AAAACATAGGATTAGATGAAGTGGGGCTATTCTGCTCCGCGGCTGCCTTAGTACCATTCCTCTTCTTGAAAGATTGTGGCTAGGTTGCCTTTTTTGAAAAGAATATTCTGGTGGTTATATTAACATGCATTCTTCAGGTAGTAACTTTTTATGTGGTCTTTCATGTTTCATCTTGCACACGTAGTTGGATGGATGTTGGTGTGTATAATAGAGATTAGTTTTCCTTCTATAGTGGGAATGAGGCAATAAATGGATTGAGTTTTAATTTTGATGCTTTGCTTCTCCAGGAAAGAAAAAGAAGGTCCGTTTGCTATCTAATGGTAGGTCTACAGCCCTTTTTTCATATTTTATGTTGCATGTGAGATTTATAAAATCATCAAGAATGTTTAACCGGAATCTGATTCTTTTTGCCCTATAGGCTTGCATTGGAAACCCCATCAGGATCTTGCTGCTGAGAACTATATGGTGTCTATGGGTCCTTCGGCCTATAACTCTTACTGGACTGGTATGCATCCAGGAATTGATGGGTTTATGGGTCCCTATGCTGGTGGGATGCATTATATGGGGGGCTATGGACTAGGTCCAATGGACATGCCATTTGGAGGTGTCATGCCTCCAGATCCTTTTGGTGCTCAGGGGTACATGTTTCCTCCTGTCCCACTTCAAAGGTATGGAGTAATATTTGTTAAGTAGCCTGTTTGTTTATACCGGTTGCAAGTTTATTGCTTGGGTGTATGCATGGAATATATCTGTTTTAACTTCATAAGCAATTTGATACTATTTTGACATCTATGGTCCGAGTCCCACGGAGGGCATTTCATAATTCGGAGGTCTCCTACGGAAGCTGCTCTCAACCTGGTGTTGGGGGCAGCCTACTATCTTACCTCTCCCTTACCCCATACATATGGGAAAAAAGGGACATCCATTTATGGTCCGACAAGCTTTGGTCTGAATGTTTAATAGAGATCTTGCTGTATTTGGAATGGGTATGAATGTATACACACCAAATATGAGTAGAAAGGAATTTGAGCTCAACAAGCTGATTTGCGGAGGCAGCTTGAAAATCAGAGAGGAAGTGAAAGGTACTGAACATGCTCTCATTCTAAGGTTACCATGTACACTAATTGTTCACTTACAACTTTCAACTAACGTGGGAATAATATGTTTCTTGTTATTTTCAAATATGGATTTTGCACGCTTAAATGGCTTATTAACTATTTTCTAAAATTGTTGCAGGGATTTATCCAGAGGTCGGGAATTCAGTGGAGAAGTGAGTAGAAGCAGTGATTTTTTTTTATTAAAATCAAAACCTGTATGTATCCACTATTTCCCTACTTCCTATTTCTGGTTTTACACATATGCTTCCACTTATTGACATTGGGAAGACAAAAGAATATTATAAAACTTAACATTTCTACCGGAATTTATTCTTTCTTCTTTTTCCTGCAAAGTTTTATGGTGATTTACATTGGAAAAGGATAAGAACATGGAGTAGTTGAGGGTTGCACGGTTTAAGCATTGTATTGGTGTCATTTTGCTGCCTTCTGATACCATAGTATCTATGCTACTATATATGTGCTTTATTCTCTGTTTCTTTAAGACAATTTATGCTGTTTGTCGAGTTTTTAATGAAGTAGAAGTGATATACTTTAAACCTCGAAGCCATCCTGAGGTCTTCTGTTAATTGTGCCAAATCTTATTGGGGTTTGAAGTATACCTCCTCTGCAAAATGAAAAACGTAAAGCGCAGACTTGTCCTTTTAAGTTGCTAGCTGAAGTTCCCTTCTAGTTCATCCTGTTTGTTTGTCCCTTGCTGGTATTTCCAAAATTAATTTGTAATTATTCTGTACTTTCCATCTGCTATTCTCAAGCTCCTCTAGGCTTTTCATCTACCATTGCTCTTACGTTTTGCTGTTCTATTTCTATACTCAAAATGAACACGAGAAATATGCTTCTGGTCGCTATTCATGAAATTCTACTATAAGATTCTATCGTCCTACTATTACCAGTCATGCTCATGTCCAGTGTCAATGACATGGGAAAAATAAAATGGTCTCAGTCTCGAGTCAGGGTGGATAGCAAGTCAAAAAGAATTCTTAAGTTCTTTTAGTTGCTCAATTTGTTTGGTGCAATGAGACAGATTTAACTTGATCATTCCAATCATGATTGCTTGCTGCAGAAACCTACCTCACAAATGTTTGGTAGTGACCAACTTTCCTTTCGGGACCATGAAGCACCTCCCCGCCTTGAAAAGAGAAAACCTGAGCAACATCATCAACGTGATCACCATAGATTTGAATCTTCCAAGCTTGGCACCACATCCACGACAGCTACAGAAGCAACGGATAAGAGCCAAAAATCAAGTGTGTTTTCTCACATTAGCTTTGTGGAAGAACAAAGCAAGAAGCGCAGACTACCTTCAGATGCACCTGCATCTTCCGGCCATCACAAGTCAAATTCCAACGGATACTATGATGACTACAAGACTAGTTTATCAGACACCAAGGCAATTTCTGGTACTAGCAGCGGTGGTAGGAAGAACAATCGTAGCGATGCTGTAGATTAGGAAACTAGTGATGATGATAGACATTTTGAAAGGAAGCCCTCAAGGTATTCACACTCGAGAAGATCCAATGAACGAGAGCGTAGCAGCTATAATAAACAGAGATAGGAGGTAGTAATAGAGTTTGTATCGCTGTGGATGCTCGAAAGCTATGGCGATCGCTCTGAGGCTATTGAAAGCTACTTTGGAGCATTATGTTACGTTATAAGCGTACAATGATTATAATATAAAGGCTCTTTGCTTGCCCTGCCTTTTACAGTCCATAATTCTAGAATTATTGTGGTTCTATATTTTTTTTGGGTTATGACTCGTGGAAACAAAGTTTGATATGTATATAAAACCGTACAACATTAATATAAATTATATTAGAAACTATGATATAATCTAAAAATATTCTTACGATCAGATCACCAATTATATGTTTTAAAGTTATTGCTTCGAATAAATTATTAAATTCTTTTTTGAAATTCATATTTTAAATAACTCTTTTTTTGAAATAAAAGAAGGATAATCATACGTATAATATAATGGCCTAGAAGAACCTAAGGCGTAGTGCGTAAGGTCATGGGCAACAACATTGGTGGATCGTCAGATGCAGTGGACACGAATGTAACGATGCTCATGAAGATACGTGCCTCAACAAGATGGAAGACAAGCACAGAGACATGTCAATGTGAGGAGACACCAGTTGTCGAACCACATTTAATATCATGAGGATAATCCAATTCGATCGCTGATTGAATATCGTGAGTGAGGGCATTCGCCTCTACGACACCAGCATTGCAAAGGCTGCAAATCAAAATAGTGTGGCCTGCCACTACCAATCCACGGTTATCCCGAGCCAGGAGGCCAATAGCGGAGTTTCCTGCAGCAATCGGATAGGCACCGTCGACATTTATCTTAAGGGTGTGCACAGGGGAGTTAATATAGCGTGATGCCTGGGATGAGGTTGTTGATGAAGTCGAGACCAAGGTGACTGAAGCAGTCGAAAAGGTCGACTGGAGTGCCCTTGCTTGCTGCAATTAAATAAAATTTGGAGTAAATTATGATTGCCGATATAATATAAAAGACACAGTTAGGCCTCTGAACTTGGCCTACTTGATTGTTATAAAATAGGCCAATATTTAAATACTTGATTGTTATAAAAGAGGCCAATATTTGAATATGACTTAATATAAAAATAAGTATCTAAATTTTAGATTTTTTTGGGAGATTTGGAGTTATTTTGCAATTTTAAAAAAAAATTGGGGTTTTTTTATAAATAAATTGAACTTTTTTAATTTTTTCTTTAAAAACAATATTTTTATTTTAAAAATTTAGAAAATTAAAAAATATAACAGTCAACACATAAAAATTTAACGAAAAAATATTATATAATTATTTTTTAAAAATTTTAAACACTAAAATATTTTTTAAGACAAAATTTAGTCACATATTTTTTGTATTAAGCCTTTAAATATTGAGGCAGGCTGAGCATATTAATGAAAAGGTACGGCCCAGATTTAGAGTGTCCAATCAGGCTCGTCCTCGTTATTTACCGCAGTCTCGGTTCTTTCCTTCATTAAGCAAAATCCCTAGTCTCTCTCTACGCAACTCCATAATGGCTACTCCTTCAATCTCATTTTTTTTAGCTACAAATCGATTCATAGTGTTTACTCTCTGGATGTTGAATCATTAAGATTTACCTAGTTAATTATCTATCATTTTAATAGATGTGTTTTTATTCACTCGTTAAAAAATAAATTGAACTGTTTTTGTGACTTTTTTTTTTATTTTTCAATAATGATATGATATTATCTTATAATGATATATTAGTATCATTATTAATATTTTAACGACGAATGATTAAAATAAAAATATAGCTTCAATTATGATTTCAAAAAAAATAATTAGGTGATAAATTGAAATCTCAAGAATAATTAAGTGATTAGATATGCAGTTTATCTTATTATTTTAGGTTACTATTTGTAAAAGTAAGTTAAAAAGCTTTCAATTTGTTTGTAATTGCAATATTAAAATATTCTAAATTTTTAAATTTGAAGTGTGACCAAGGCACAAGTGGTGGTTATGACGAGGACGCATTCTCCACCAAAAAAAAACCCTCAATTGAATTCATCTAATGGTTTAGGGTACGTATATTACGAATGATTAAGAAAGATTTTGAATAGATATCAAGTGGAAATCATCTCATTCTACCAAAAACAAAGAGGCTCCATTAAAATGCCATTTGAATCGATTAAAACGCCGTAGGGAAGAAAGAAACTACGGAGAGTTCCATCAAACAATATGAAAGACGAGACTCAAATCATTAGTATCCAAAACCAGTAGTTTCATAGAATCGATACAACAATATGATGCTCATTTAGTAACCTCATAAAAATGCATTAACTGAGCAAATCCAAACAATGATGCAAATGTTCTAGAGTTGATTTACCTTTTTACTGCCTTTTTCCAATCCTTCATTGTCATCCCTCAAATGTAACCCCATCGATCTTGACTCTTTTTTTAAATCCCTCTGCCTTCAGTATCTCTATATCAGAACTTTGTTCCTGAATTGCAGACGAAAAACACAAATATTAATTTGTCAATTTCAGTTCATTCAAGCGTGCTTTGACTCAATTTCTGTTAAACATCTTCCTACCTGAAAGATTAAGAAAAGAATCTCAATTGACTCTTGACCTAATTTGGTAGAATGCGCTTGAAATTAAGGAAAGGAGCATCTCTTTTATTTTATTATTTTTATATTGAAGGAAGGAGAAATAAATCATTTATGGTAAGGCCCACCTACGTCTGTTTGGAGTAAGAAGACGACGAAGGAGCGCGTTTGTTACGGAACACCATGTATCCTTGGGGCAAAACCACTCCGATCATCATGATTGCCGCTCCGATTGTGTATCTTAACGGGCTTGGCGGTTCCACCTCTATCATTATTTTCAACTGTACCGCACACAATCATAACCTCAAATCAATCGTCAAGATATCAATCGTCACGATAACAATTTTTTTTATTCTCGCGAGTGATGTAATTTTTTTTTGAATGTTTTGCTTAAAATTGTAATAATCGCGATTGATTGTAGATTGACTTTTAATTATGACATATTTAATCGTATAATACTAATGCAATTGGTTGCTGATTCAGTTGTTTTAAGGTGCATAATTGTTAATTGTTTCCTGAATAATCACATAGTATTGGAAACAAGTGTTGGTAATGCTCAATCCCACATACTATTGGAAACACTATTGAAAATGATATTTAAGGCTTGGCTTTCTCACTTCCTTATTTAAGGTGCATGATTTTTGGACTATCGCAACGAATTTGGAATAAATCGCAACGCGAACTTGGACTATCGCAACGAACTTGGACTATCGCAACGAATTTTTAATAAATCGCAACGCGAACTAGGACTATCGCAAGAAATTTGGAATAAATTACAACGCGAACTTGGACTATCGCAATGAATTTGGAAAATCGCAACGCGAACTTCGACTATCGCAACGCGAACTTCGACTATCGCAATGCGAATATGTAAATCGCAATGCGATAGTCGATGTTCGCGTTGCGAATCTGGAAACTGATTTGCGATACCGGAGATCGCGTTGCGAATTATCGATCGCATTGCGATTTAGTTGGTCATTTTGGTAAATCCAAAAAAAATTAGTTAAAATCGTATATTATAAGGCATTTTTGGTCACTGAGGTTATTTTCTATAGATTGATTTATTTTAAATAATTTATTAGTATGGATTGATTTATTTTAAAATATAAATTGATTTATTTTAAAATATAAATTGATTTATTATTGTAGTTGTATTGATTGATTTATTTATTTTAAATAATTTATTAGTATATATTGATTTATTTTAAAATATGGATTGATTTATTTTAAATAATTTATTAGTATGAATTGATTTATTTTAAAATATGGATTGATTTATTATTGTAGTTGTATATATTGATTTATTTTAGATAATTTATTAGTATGAATTGATTTATTTTAAAATATGGATTGATTTATTTTAAAATATGGATTGATTTATTTTAAATAATTTATTATTGTAGTTGTATGAATTATTTAAATTTCAGTATTGTAAAACTAAAATTATTTAAATCTCAGTATTACAAAACTCTTATAAGTTTAAAAAATCAGTTTATTTATATTTCAGTTCATTTTAGCAGTCTGCAGACGTTAAAAAACAAACAGTCTTCTTATTGCAGACTGCAGACTTTTAGTCCACCTCTTCTGTTGCAGATGTCTGCATATGTGGTCCGCATACTGCCGACCTTTTACCTCTGCAAAAACAAACATCACCTAAGTGTTGGTGGTGATAAAATTTTTAAATTTATTAAATTATTTTTAATTATGATGAAATTATTCGGTAATATAAGTTTTAAGAATTAAAGTTATTATTATATTTAATTATATTATTATTTTATCCAATACTTAATATAATAATATATTTATAATAATATTTTCAACTAAATGATTTGTTTATAATTTTCAAGATTATTTATTATCGAAGATATAATTGAATGATTTAAAGTGTATTTTATTTTTAAATTTATCATATTAAATTATTACAAATTTATATTATTTTGGATTCAATCAGATTTGTATGAGTTTGGCTCACTTTATATCCAAATATAAGATATTTATATTATTGGGTTTTAAGATGAATTCGAATTGAATTAATTTTTAAATTTAAGTTGATCAAATTAATTTTACGAATTTAAATTTTAGTTTAATATAATAAAATTTTAAAAAAAAGAATAAAAAGTTAATTTTTATAATTAATTTGTGTATTATATGTATGTTATAGATTTAATTCTTATACTCAAATTAAATTTAACTTTTATATTTTTTAAAATTTTAAAAATTTGATGTTAACTTTCATGAATTAAATGACCTTAGTGGTTAAAAGATTTGTTATTATCTCTTGTGGTATCGGGTTCAAGTACCATATATGCAGTGATATAAACGTTCATTGTCAAGCCGTTGAGAGTCTTTCAACAAATATCATTTTGAATTCGTACTAGATTTATAAAAAATAATTTTAACTCAAATAATATTATTAGAAAAACTTAGATAATATAAAACAATATAATCAAATTGTAAAAATCTAAACTAATTGAATTAAGTGTCATAATTCAGCACGAACCCAATGACCTCAGTGATAAAATAATTGTTGTTATTTCTTGATGATCCAAGTTTGAGCATCATAAATGCTAGGAGTGTGAGTCTTCAATATCTAAAAGTTAAAAATTATCTTTAAACAGATACTACAATATATTTACTCTAGATTAATAAAAAAATAAAGAGTCACAATTCATAAATTTGATTAAAACAAAATATTTTAATTTTAGAAAATATAATACTTAATATAATTAAATTATAACATAAGAATTAAATCCACGCTGTATAATACAGAAATCTTAGAACTGAACCGTGTATTTGGCGTTATATTTGGTTAGTAGATTTCAAGATTGAAGCCATTATCGGACGGTGTCGTATCATCTTCTTTGTGCGGCCAAAAGGAGGAGGCCGGTAACGCAAATGCCCAGCTGTTGTGGGGAAGAAGTGAAGAAATGACACTCACGAGGCGAGTCTCATCCCATTTTGCTGGGTTTTTAAAGAGCTCTTTCAAATCTTACAGATTACAGGGATATCGATCCTCTTCTTCCTCTCTCACCCATGGCATCCACGTCTTCCACTGCCCCGTATTCCCCCTCTCCCTTTACTCTTTACCCATTTCTTGATTGCCATTGTTGAATTGGATTTACATCTTTAAGTTTTCATTCCTGACAAAAATAAATAAATGAATTTTTTCCCAATTAAAATTAATGGCTTTGTTAATTTTTTTAAATTGAATCTGACTTTGTTTTTTGGTGTTAGGATCAAGTTGGGATAGTTGCAAAGCTATCAGAATGTATAGCTTCTAGGGGAGGAAACATACTTGGGGCTGATATCTTTGTCCCCGAAAAAAAGAACGTCTTTTATTCCAGAAGGTAAGGTACTTTTAATGGTCTAAAATTTCATGATTATATGCTAATTGTCTTTCATTGATGAATGCATAAGACATGTTTTGAGTCTTCATTGCCCTCAATTTATTCCAAAGCGTTATAAACTTGGCTTGTCCTAATAAAACATGATCCCAAAGAATCAATGTTGGATCCATAAAGCAAGTTATTGTTGCAACTAAGAACTATTGAACAGTTGTGTTGTTGCTATTGGATGGTTTTCCTTTTGGCTGAAGTTCGAACCATGGAACTAAGCTGTGCACATTGGTTTTATTATAAACGAGAGTTACTGGAATCAAGAAGAGATACTATTAATTTTTTTGTTCTAAGTTGCTTCTTATTAATCTGTATCAGCACCAATCGGAAGTAGGTTTGATTGTGGACAGCTTCTTTTCCGTGTTTTGCAATGTTGTAGAATGATGTTTGGTCTGAGCAAACAGTTATATGTCCTATGGTGACTGTACCTTGTGGTTGAAAGGTGATTGAGTGAACCATAATTAGACCTGGATGTTTATCTGTGGGAAATTGCAGTGAGTTTGTTTTTGACCCTTTTAAATGGCCTCGGGAGCAAATGGATGAAGATTTCCTAAATCTTTCGAAAGTGTTCAGTGCTACGAGATCTGTTGTTAGGGTCCCTGACCTCGATCCCAAGTTTAAAATTGGCATCCTTGCTTCAAAAATGGTATAACATTTTCCTTTTCTCCTTATGTTGATTTGAGTCTCTGCATGATTGAATCATTTATCTTGCTTCAGGACCATTGCCTGGTTGATTTGCTATATAGATGGCAGGAGGGTAGGCTTCCAGTTGATATTACTTGTGTGATAAGGTGATGTTTAGACTGTCATTCCTTTCGGTGATTTTTGCTGTTATCATTTTTTTCTTTAAAATTCTTTAGTCCAATTTGCATTTTGTTTCAAAATTTTGATTGTGGTTTTCATTTGATGGCAGTAATCATGAAAGAGGTCTAAACACCCATGTCTTGCGCTTTCTCCAAAGGAATAAAATTCCATATCATTATTTGCATACTACAAAAGAGAATAAAAGAGAAGGGGAGATCTTAGAGTTAGTTCTAGATACCGACTTTCTAGTACTTGCCAGGTATATGCAGGTAAATATGGTTGTAAGATTTTCAACAATATTAATATAGACTTGTACAATATTTATATGGAAAACATTTTAATATAGAATTCTACAATATTAAGGGGAAGAATAGGCTTAACATATTTTCTTTCACAAATGACTCAAGATAGTGCTTACCTATGTTGAATATTTAGCAAAACCATTCAGTGTCTGCTTTTGTTGGTATATTCACTGTGTTTGGTTAAACAATTATGTATATTATACCGATGTCAGGTGTTTTGAAATTGGTTGAATCAACTAATACTATGTTTCAAAGCTGGAAAATAATTATTTACTTTAGCAGATTTTATCTGGTCATTTTTTGAGGACATATGGGAAGGATGTAATTAACATTCACCATGGCCTTTTGCCATCATTTAAGGGTGGGAATCCATCTAAACAGGTGACTGCTCTTTCTTATTGAATTGAACACTTCGTGCTTCCTCTCTAACTCTAGATGCATGTTAAATTTTCTAGATTATGTTGGCAGGCTTTTGATGCAGGCGTGAAATTGATTGGTGCGACAAGTCACTTTGTGACTGAAGAACTTGATTCGGGACCTATTATTGAGCAAATGGTATTTTTCTATTTGTGTAGTGATGCTCTAAACAGTGTTACTATTCTTCTTGCAATAATTGCATTATGGTGATTATTCGCCTCTACTATTTTCTGTTCAAAGAAGTGATCAGCTTGAACTACCTTAGCTCGATTTCTGGAACTTTAAGTAATAGTTGAGAATGCAGTTTCTTGCTGTTTGACCATGTGTTACGATAAAATTTTCACTCTTCAAAATTTTTCTGGTTGTCAGACAGCCAGTTTGATGGTTGATTCCAATGTTATGGAAAAATTTTCAGGAAGTCATGACAAGTTAATTTGATCTGCGAAACTTTCTTAGCAGGAGAAGGTGCTGAAAACATAGTTACTAAAGTCATTATTGCTAACTTCTTTAGCTACTGTTGCAGCAGCATCCAATTTGAACTAAATTTGGGTTCTTATCATTTATCTATTTTCACAATTTTTTTCAATTGTTCTCCAATGATGTTTGTTACAATCATAATTTGATGCTGCATAACCTATAAAGTAAGTTTGGTATTCATACTTTATTGTTTTATGGCCTTCCGTAATGTGCTGCCCTCAATTTTGCTGTCTGACAGGTTGAAAGAGTTTCTCACAGAGACAATTTGCTGAGTTTTGTGCAAAAATCAGAGAACCTTGAGAGGCAATGCCTTGCAAAGGCTATTGGATCATACTGTGAGCTGCGAGTGCTACCATATGAGGAAAACAGGACTGTTGTATTTTAAGAGTGAAAATCAGAAGATAAAGCAGTGCTAAAGGACGAGGTTGGGGTATTATGCACCTGACATTAGTCATTTAGATTGCCTAGAAAAGCGATTCTCCTCCATGCATCTCTAAATGCATATGAGAACAGTCCAAAGTCCTGCAAAGAGATGGTTTTTTTCAATATGGGGGATCTAATTCATCTTCCTCTGCCTTTTTCCAAATAAGAGGAAAATTTGGTGCAGTTAACTTCCTGATACAGGATTATTTGCTTAGTGAGTTTTATCTAGTTAGTGTGCCATATCAATAATCAAATATCAAGCTAATCAAGTGGTTGAGCAAGCTCTGAGCAGGTACCACGTTATCGAAATTGCAGTTTTTTCATAGTGATTGTGGGGTTTCTTTTAATAAATAAATGAAAACTAGCATTGTGCATCATTTCTATTAGTTAGGATGCAATCATTGTGATAGTATGGGAGTGATATGACATATTTTTGTTTGTATTTCCCCACAACCTGTCATCCACTTGCACTATTTCAATATTGTCGTTTATCTTTCCTGCTCTATCCCCCATTCCAACAACCTGAAAAAATTGGAATCTTAAATTTGAACATTACGATCTTTTTGTCTTCCAGTTTTGTTGTGATCATTGTTATTAGTTTTACTTCTTTGCATGCATGATGAATATGGTCAAAGTGTCAAAATAAAAAAGAGAGAAAAGAAACCGTATAAAGATCTCCCTTAACATGCATTGTAAGAACTGGTAGCATAGCTTACATATGGAAATATATATGACATATTCACTGTGTGCTGCACAAACTATACCATTTCCTTTATGGTGTCGTCGATACGCAAAGGTTCGATTGAAAGCTCAGCTGCTTCGGCATGGCTGACTTGCCGGAGAAGATTTTGAATCCCATCAATCCATTTCTGCTTATGATTCTTGCTTTCACACTTGAACTCTAGAAGTCCTTGCCCTGTCTTGAGACCGAAATAGAGTTCCCCACATGTTTCCCTCTCTTTTCTGTATGGCCATGCACAAGTCTCATCGCAAACGCCATAAACAATGCCTGGTATAAATGATGGTGGGTTTAAGATGGAAAGCTAGCTAGTAATAATAGTTGAGTGTATGGATATGATGTTCAATCATTATAGAGTTAACGTGGGTGGCAGCAGTGTTATGTTCCAAAAAGTTGTTTTCCTGAAGCTATGATAGTCAAAATAAAAGGGTACAATGTCAAAATTACCCTAAATGTTTATTAAAATAGTCATTTTGACCCCTTTTTTAGTATTTTGGCTCTCAATGTTTAATTATAGGGCAAAAAGGCCCATGACATTTGATATAATAGTCACTTTGATCTTTATTTTGGAGCATTTAAGCCCTCAATGTTTCATTTTAAGGTAAAAAGACTCATATTTTAAAATGTTAAATGTGTGTTAACTATCGGTTTTCATCTATAAATGGGTCTTTTTGCCTTGAAATAAAATATTAGGGGCCAAAATAACCATTTTAATAAATAGTAACATTATGCTAAATAAAAAGAGAGAAACTAGATGAAAAGGAAAATTCATGAGATTAATTGCGAAATTAGCGGGTAGAGTAATGCAATACAATAGGATGCTTACATTTATTATTGTTGGAGAATGCTCCTCCAACGTGTTTGCTTTTTAGCTTAATCATGACCTAACAAAGGAGCGTTTGTAAGAGATTAAAAAGTGAAGACGCTTTTTTGTATTTGTACCATCAAGTTTGATTTTGTTACCTGAGGTTTCTTATTGATGTATACACTGACGCGCTTCCATCTCAATACACCTGAGATTAGGAATTAACAGGTGATTTCAGAGAGTTTAAGAAACTGAGTTTTGATCTGAAATGACTACCTTTTCGTATATGCTGTAATAGTTCACCCTCACAAGGAGTAAGAAAATCTGCAGCCCAACGAGCTTCAGTCATGGTCCTCTCGTAAGGGCTTATGGCTGCATTTTTCCTTGCTTCTTTTGGCAATCTGGTTTTTAGAGCTGCTTCTCCTCTCAAAGCTGCTTATGTTTCAGTCCCATTCCATAAAAATTACAAACTAAACTAAATGGAGATTGGTGGGATTGATACAAATGGATCTGGTTTTGAATATTACCTGTTGCAGCAGCTGCTGTGAGAGTCATGAGATCACCAGCATATTGAATCTCGACTGCTGATTTAACAACGGAAGCAACATGGTGATGATCAACCCCGGCTACTTGAGCTAATTCAATGCAATGTGATGCCAAAAGTTGAGTTGCAGACGCCAATGCGATGCTCATCTTTGAGCCTGTAGCTGTGTCATTGGAGTTTCCACCTGTGGCTATAGCAGCCAAACCTGCGGCTAGCCCAGCAACCGAAACAGCCGTGTGCAACCGAGCATTTTCCGCACGTATCTTATCTTTCTTCTTCACTGTGTTACCGCCTAACTCCTTCTGGTGATTAAACCATTTCCCAATCGATCCATTTTTTCGAGCTTGAATCGAATTCAAGACTTTCCCAGCCTACGTATATAAGCAGAAAACAGTAAACCATATACCCAAAATATGCAATGCAATCTACCAAGAAAAGGATCAAACAATTGAAGTTTGATCTATATGGAAACTCAAGGATCTGGAGGTGAGAAAGAACATAAGGTCATTACTCACAATTTGGGGTGCAACAATGGTGTCCGGAAATGAAGTTGGATTAAGATGGAGCTCAAACTGTTTGTGTTTCAGAGAAAGTGCTTTAGAAAGTTCTGATGCGGATAAAGACCATGATCTAGATAAAAACTCCATTGGCTCCATGGGTGTTTGTGGCTGAGGAATTGATGGCAAACACCATTCTGCTTCAAGCTCTCCATCTTCTTCTACATTCTCTAATCCCAACAAACAACCGGTTTCCCAATCCGAATCAAACCCAGTTTCCATTTCTATCTCGGAATTCAAATGGTAATCTCCTCTCGTTTTCCTTCAATGCTTAAATGAAAGAAAACATGTGAAGAGGAAGAAAATAATTGTGTTTTGAAACCAGAAAGGTTGTTGATTAAGAAGAAAACGCAGTGTCTTGTCGGAGCAAAGTTATAATTAAATGGTGTGTGGACAATGTTCAAGGGGTCCCTACCTTCACCATAATTAAGCAGGAACAGATATCAAAATCTTGTGCTTCGAATCCTTTTAGTTTTTTTTACCGAGTACCGACAGAGACTGGGATTGGTAGTCAAAACCTGGAATTTAAGTTGCGATTGTGATCGCGTTGTGTTTATCGTGATTATAGACATAACGAATATTATCACAATGATTGCGGATATCACGATCATGTAATAACGGTTTCGAACGATACTACTACCGTTATATAACATACGCTATTAAAAGTAGCGAACCGGTGTTTAAATTCCTGATCAAAATATAAACTTGGAAAGCCCAAAGTTTACATAATAATATAATCAAAGATGTATAGATTAAAGAACATAAAGCACGGCATTAGTCCTGGTTAAGAGGGGACGGTTTCTTAAGACTGGTGCAATTAAGCGCACATATGCATAATTAAGAGTATCTTTCGTAAATTTAGCCCAAAGAAAAGATTCCGTTAAGTTTTCTCTCTTTAAAAAAATGAATTGAATAATATTGTTCAGCCGTATCTCTTTCAGTTGCTGGAAATAATTCTTTTTTGAAATAAATATTTGGGTAAACTACACATTTAATACATTAACGATCACTTTTATTCCATTTTGGTCACTCAACTTTTTTTTTCAATTCTAATGAAGAATGATTTTTTTTTATCTAATGTGGGAAAGTAGAAGTTGACATTTATTTAGAATAAGAATGAATGAGGAGGTTGAAAAGCCTTGGGAATCAGGGAGCAAAGACATAGTGGGAAAGGAATTAGAAAATACAAGAAATAAAGAATTGCAACCTCAAAACACAATGAAATCAAACATTGGACTATTGAAGGGTGCAAATGTAGCAACACTTGGTCCACAATTATTTAGAACAAGGCTCAACGAGGTTGATGTTAATGCCTAAGACTCTTGCTGTGCAAAGGCAAACCGCAGCTTGAGGATCAGCCAAACCTTGGATTAGGCTACAACATGGTTTTGTTGGCACATTATCAAGACACACACCGAGGTTCGGGGGGTTGACCCTGATCATTCATACAGACGCCATCAACAACAGGGTGTGTGCCACAAGAACCTTTTAAATTATTAACAACAGTTTGAGAGTTTACCGAAGCAAATAAAACAAGGTTGAGGGAAAGAAATAGAGCAGTAGGTGCTTTGAAGCCATTTCCCAAATCAAAAGGATTTCATGTAAGAAATCTCAAACTGCGATGATATTGGTGATGGTGAAGTGAGCTAAGAGTTTTTATAGCTCAACTTTTAATTAAGCTCTTGTACAACTAGAAAATGAGAACCACCAACTAAGATTAACTGTAAAATTTGGATCTTGGAATATTTGTTTTCTTGGCAATCATATATAATAATTTAAAATCTCCCACGTCTAAAATCACAATGTCCGACTACTTGATTTAATTAATAACATGAGTACAACGTTAACATTGTTTATATATATTTCCCGACATGCATGCGACCTAGCAAAATTAAGGTTTCTGCCATATATGTATATTAAAATCATTGATATTCACAAACGGGAGTGATACTTATTCTTTCAGCTCATGCAATTCTCTTTCATGTATGGATTGGTCCGTTGTTAATGCTCAAAATATAATATATATTTAGTTCTATTTAATTATATTTTAAATAGTTTTAAATTGTGTTTTGGAATGATATATCTGCTCCCACTATCTATGTAATCCCTTAGACCCGGCCTGGAGGTTATGGCCGAATCTTGAAGGTCACATTGATCACTCAAGTGATCCAAAAATTCCGTTGTTAATGCTCAACTTTTGGTGCTGTTTATTTTTCAAAGATTGACCTCAGATCAGGGTATTGACAAATCAGAATTAAAAATGCAGACATACACAAAACTGCATTCAGAACTCATCAAGGCCACTATGAATTTAAGGTAATGCCTTTTGGCCTTACTAATGCCCCTACTACTTTTCAGACATTAATGAATGAATTATTTAGTTCATTCCTTAGAAAATTTGTGTTGGTGTTTTTTCATGACATTTTAGTCTACAGCAGTTCTATGGCAACTCATATTGCTCATTTACAGAAAGTTTTGGAGGTGTTACAGGCTAATCAATTATTTGCAAAGTTCTCCAAATGTTTTTTTGGACAAACCCAAGTGGAATACTTGGGACATATTATTTCAGCTGCAGGAGTTGCTACTGATCCTAGTAAAGTGGAAGCAATGCAGAATTGGCCTCTTCCTAAATCTTTAAAATCTTTGAGGGGATTTTTAGGATTAACAGGCTATTACAAAATATTTATTAAAGACTATGGTGCTATCAGCAAGCCACTGACACAAATGCTTAAAACAGACAACTTTAAGTGGACTAGTGCAGCTGTGACTGCCTTTGAAGAACTTAAAAGAGCTATGAGCAGTGCTCCAGTTTTAGCTCTCCCAGATTTTTCCAAGAATTTTTGCTTGGAAACAGATGCAAGTTCAGGTGGTATAGGTGCTGTCTTATCTCAAAATGGCAGACCTATTGCTTATTTAAGCAAGTCTCTTAGTCCTAGAAATTGTAGTCTCTATTTATGAAAGAAAGTATCTTGTTATTCTACTGGCAGTTTCTAAATGAAGACATTACTTAGAGGGAAATCCTTTTGTCATTAAAACTGACCATGAACCTCTAAAGTATCTCTTGGAACAGAAGTTAACTACTACAATCCAAAAGAAATGACTGACTAAGCTTTTGGGTTTGGATTATACTATTCAGTATAGAAAGGGAAGATCCAATGTTGTGGCAGATGCCTTATCTAGGCAATGGGAGGATCAGGGTCAGTGTTTTGTTATGGGTACAACTGTAATCATTCCTAGATGGGTTCAAGATGTGGAGGCTAGTTATAAAGAAGATCTGTTGGCTACTGATTGGATTTCTAAGTTAACTGTGAATCCTACTGTTGATATTAATTGGAGATATTCAAAGGGCATCCTTAGATTTAAGGATAGAGTTTATATTGGAACTGCTGGAACCTTAAGACTACAAATTCTTCAGACATTACATGATTCACCTTATGGTGGTCATTCTGGAAGTCAAGCCACTTATCAGAGAATTAGATCCTATTTTTATTGGCCTAGACTTAAGGCTATGGTGGCAACCTATGTCAGAGCTTGTGCAGTTTGTCAACAAACTAAGGTGGAACATGTTGCTAAACCAGGACTACTACAACCACTACCTATTCCTCAACAAGCTTGGGAGGTCATCACTATGGATTTTATAGAAGGGCTGCCTACATCATTGAGGAAAAACTATATTTTAGTAGTAGTTGATAAGTTTACTAAGTATAGTCATTTTTTGGCTCTGTCACATCCTTACTCAGCAGCTGAGGTGGCTAGATTATATTTGGACCATATTTATAAGCTTCATGGACAGCCTAAAATGGCCATTTCAGACAGAGATAAGACTTTCACTAGTCTCTTTTAGAGAGAACTAATGAAACTCTTAGGAACTAAGACCCTATTTAGCACTGCCTACCATCCTAAAACTGATGGACAGACAGAGAGGGTGAACCAGTGCTTAGAACAGTACCTAAGGGATCTTTGTTTTTATCAACCCAAGTAATGGGCTAAATGGTTGCCACATGCTGAGTGGTGGTACAATACCACCTACCACACTGCCTTAAAGTTAACACCTTTTCAGGCTCTCTATGGCTACAAGGCTCCTACAATGGTTTGGCATACAGAGACTAATGTACATGCAGTAGCAGAATTAATGCATAGTAGGGAAGAAATCAAACAATTGGTCAAAGTCCAGTTAGAGCAAGCCAATAATAGAATGAAACAGATAGCAGACAAAAACAGGTCAGAACGAATTTTTCAAGTTGGAGATTTAGTTTACCTAAAGTTGCAACCTTATCGACAATCTTCTCTTGCCATGCGAAAACATTTGAAATTGGCAGCAAGGTTTTATGGTCCTTATAAAATTATTAAAAAAATTGGAGAAGTAGCCTACAAATTAGACTTACAAGATACTTCGCGTTTGCACCCAGTCTTTCATGTTAGCCTATTGAAGAAGCATGTTGGAGACATAGGAGCAACTTCAACCGATCCTCTTGTTATTGATGATGAAGGTCAGTTCAAAATCGAACCCAGCAGAATATTAGGCAGAAGGATTATTAATCGACAGAATAAACCAGTTACACAGTTATTGGTTCGCTGGACTAACCTAGACGAGACGCACGACACCTGGAAGATTATTCAGTGCTTCGAGGATAGTTTTCGTTGTTTGATCCTTGGGGGCAAGGATCGACTCATGGGGCGGGTATTGTCACAGTTGGAGAAGGGAGGCTAGAGGGAGAAGACGAAGGACGAGAGAGGGGTATCGAAGAAGAATTGGGAGAATTGGGGGAAATGAAGCAACAAGGGTTAGGGATTGAGATTGATTTGGGAAGCAATTACCTGAGAGAGGAGCACGTGAGGCGCACAGGAGTTATTAAAACACCAAACCAGTCGATCCAGCAAATTCAGATGCTTGGTCCAGGAGATCCAGGTGAAACACGGGTGGCCCAGTAAAGTCCAAGTCTTGTGGAGATAACAAAATTGGTTAGCAAGGGCAGGCCAGCTGGCATAACAGATTCTCTATTTGCTTGTATGTAAATAAAACATCAATGTAATGGAAAATGGTTATGAAATGAATGATGAACTTTCCTTTTCTCTAAATTCTCTAAATTCTCTCGTCATCTACAATCACTATTTCTTCTCTATTTCCCCTTAATCCATAACATTCTCTTTCATGTATGGATTGGTCCGTTGTTAATGCTCAAATTATAATATATATTTAGTTCTATTTAATTCTGTCTTAAATAGTTTTAAATTGTGTTTTGGAATGATATATTTGCTCCCACTATCTATGTAATCCCTTAGACTCGGCCTAGAGGTTATGGCCGAATCTTAAAGGTCACATTGATCACTCAAATGATCCAAAAATCAATTCAAA